GAGCGCTCGTGACCCAGCTGTCATAGCTGTCTCTCCCCAAAAAGAGCCCCCCTCTCGTTCCCCAGATCTCTCCCCAAATCCGCCCTCTCTCGTTCGATCTTTCTCTTGATGTGAAAACCCTCCCCCCCTTTCGATCTCTCTCCCCAGAAAACCCCAACCGCCGCCGCTCGTTTCGTCTCGTGAGGCCAACCCCGACTCCCCCTTTCGATCTCTCTCTCGTGAGGCCAACCCCGACCGCCGCCGACCGTCGCTCTCTCCCCCAACAACCCCGACGCCGACCATCCCCAGATCCGGGTAAAATTTCAAAAATCCCTCTTCATCCTTCTCTCGATCCATAGTAATTAAGAAAATACATTATGCTATCAACAGAAGTCTTTTCTTTTGGTTTTGGTTTTGGTGGGGGGTGGGGGGAATCACCGTCCCAGATCTCGACATCCTCATTCAGTTTCTGATACACAGGTGTAGCTGACCACACAAAGAAACCACCTGGGCGTAGGACCCTGTTTAGCTCTAAAAGCAGCGTTCCACCTATTTTCAGTCAAGAACAAGCTCGTTAGAACTAATTAGGAAAGTAGGAAACCATAGTAGCTAGAATTTTGAAGAGCAAAAACAAAAAATCTTATATACAGGGAACTAATAGCATCATACTAAAAGTAATTTCTTGATTTTGTTTCCAATTGTGATTCTTCTGTAGTCTGTTATATGATTATCATTAAAAAATATTATCATGCTTTGCGAAATGGGAGAGGGTAAGAGTATTGAATACTAAAGGTTATGATAATTTTCAGTGTTTACTTTGCAAAATGGGAGAAGGTAAGAGTATTGAATGCTAGTGAAGAGACTAATTTGTTTTCATGCTTATTTTCGTTAGCTAAGATTACTGCCATTAAATTCTAACCACAACAGAAATACTAAGTTTGTTTTTCTTGAATTTATTTTCTTCTTTACTTGGTATGGATTTTGGTCATAAACTTCTTGCTTAGTATGGATTTTGAGATGTTGACAAATAGCTCATTGTTATTATGCGCAAGTTGATATGGTATTTTGATTGCTCTGTGTTAGCCAGTTCATTTACTCTGAAAGAGCTGATGTTTATAGTGCCTGGCAGCATAATGGAAAATGGAAACATGTTGGTCTTGGGAATTTTGTGATTATTATGGTTGGACCATCAACAAACAGCTTCATCAATTTCTATTGCCGACTTTCACTTAAAATGGTAAATTTGTTAATCACTATTCTGGGCTTTGCTGTTGATTGTGTTTTTTTCCTACTTAAGAAAATAGGGCATGTTGGATTTTTGCTTAGCTATCCCTTGACGTTTAAGATTTACAGTTGAGTTTGTTGCAGTGTTATGAGTTTCACTAAATCACTTGATGCTTTTTCTGTTTAAGAAAACAGTAACTCAATGTAGTGGACTTTTCTGCAGAAGCCCTTGATGTTTTGGCTTCATGCAAATTTTTATGTAGTTTGCAGAATGTAACTCAGCTCGGAACTTCTTGGTCAGATGATGCTAAAACCAGTAGTGTAAAGTCAGCTAAACAGTTTTATGTTCATGTCAGCTAAAGGAAACTAAGCTTGAATTAACTTATTTGTGAGCATGTATAAGAACCACACACACTGTTATAAATGCATGTTTTCCTCCGAAGTTCTATTGGTTCTGTCTGCACCTTAGATGTCATGATGACGAATAACTCATGATACTTCTTCTCATCTTTGATAAGTCATACATACGAATATTTTCAGGTTATCCATGCCAAGAAAGAATTTTTATGTTATGAAGAGAGATCGACGATGTGGTATTTTTAATAATTAGGAGGAATGCAAATCTCAAGTTGATAGATTCGTAAATGTCTCATACAAAGGGTATGCAACTTACGAAGAGGCTTTGATTGAATGGGAGAAGCACACCATCATACGTGATTCAGCATCCACATCAAGGCATGTGCAGACACCTATTTGTGCTTAAGAACAAATGTTTCCAGAGGAACATAATCTGGTTGAGGACAAGGGAAAACTTGGGGAAACTGCTATTTCCTTCATCTATACTTTTGTATTAGGTTCGGTGTTTACAATATTAGTGTTTCTAGTATGTATCGTTGCGGTATTTGTTGGTTACTCCATTGCAAAAAACATGTGATCTGATTTGTGAATGATTCTTCAATGTGAGTATAAGCTTGTATAACAATTTCTCTTAGCTTGTAAAACATGTGATGTGATTTGTGAATGATTCTTCAATGTGATTTGTGGTAAGTTTGTAGTGTGTTTGCATCATTGCCTTAAATGCTGACTTATGCCCTTTGAATTGTAATCTTTTGCAATTTAAGAGGAACATCCATAATATCACCGTACAGAATCTTCAATGTAATGCCCAACAAAAGAGTGATTTTTCTGTGCCTGAAGCAGCCACAAAATGGAAGGCTATAGTATGAATTATTTTGGGCTACATCTAGGTGTTACTAAATCCAAAACTTACATGATTATAAACATTTAGAACATGTAATCGGTGATCTTAATGCTCATAAATGCCACACTGGGGGGTACTGTTGAAAAAGAAATATTAAGCCTACAAAGATACTTCCTGATTATAGCTAGTCAATACATCATCAACAAATTATCAGCCTAAGGTATTCATAGATTAGGAGTCCCTAATTCCAAGCCTAAAGCTACAAAAACTTTAATGAAGTACAAGCGTGTATGCAATACAAAAGGTGAGCCTTGATCTTGTTATCATGTCCTAATGACAATACAAACCATGTACAATACTCCAGTCTCACAAACAGATCCCAGTTCAATTTTTGCCTGATACAAAAGAGTATCAACTACTTCTTTCTGGTTCATGTACAACTGACCAGAAAGTTACAACCAAAGTTCAGTAGAGTCATTTTCATGTTTCAAAACAAAAAAGTTACAACCAAAGTTACAACCAAAGTTACAACCAACCATAACCAAAGTTACAACCAACCATATCTTGCTCTCTGCAATAGAGTAACTGTAAAAGATTTTGATCTTGATTTTTCAAAAGTATGCTCCAACATCCTGTGCTCCAACAACCTCTGCTAATTAAATTTAGAATTGAGAAAATTATAGATTGATACAGAAAAATGCAAGGAAACAAAAAACAAAAAGGGAACAAATCTTTTCATACGTACATGGACTGGGGTACCCAGTGAACAAACCTCATAATCCAGCATCCGTGCATATGTTTAGCTGCAAATTACACGACAAATTATTGGGAGTTAGTCAGAATTGGAAAGGTAGCACATGTATCTACATATATAATTTTAAAGTGCTAAGATTGTTTGATTTCCACCAATGTAGCAGAATATTTACACTGTCTGAGATATGCCGTAGGATTTGGAACATGAGAAATTTACACTGTGTCAGACAGTTGAAGTAGTTTAATAACATGAGAAAAGTAATTGATGATGTAAAGACAAAACAAGAAATAGTTTAATAACATGAGATATGCTGTAGGATTTGTCAACATTTGAAACATTGAATATGGAAAGGTAGCTAATTATACATCTTTGAGTTTTATGGAATTGTTGATGTGATCTGTGCATTTTTGCTTTATCTGGACTACTCAACACATGATCTGTATGTTCTTCAATAAACCCCATGACCTCCCACGATTTGTCCTTCAATATTTTCACTCGCATCATTGCCTTACATCCCACTCGGGTCTCTCGCCGAAGAGGAATCTCTACCTTGTCTCTAGTAGATTTATAGCCCTCCTTATCAAAAACAAACTTTCTGTCCACCACTTCTCTAGTCTTGCGAGAGTAATTCACCGTGCTCTTCCTTATTCCAAAACCCATCAACAATGCATATGAGATATATAATAGTTATAAGCTTCTTCATAACTATTAAACTTCATTCCTATAAGTGGTTTAGGAGCATTTACAGTATTGGCCGCAGTTTCACTTCTAATAACACTTGATTCTCCCATTCCGAACTCTACACTAGTTGAATTTGTTGACTCCATTCCGAACTTCTAAAGAAGAAAATAAATTCAAGAAAAACCAACTTAGTATTTTTGTTGTGGTTAGAATTTAATGGCAGTAATCTTAACTAACGAAGATAAGCATGAAAACAAATTAGTCTCTTCACTAGCATTCAATACTCTTACCTTCTCCCATTTTGCAAAGTAAACACTGAAAATTATCATAACCTTTAGTATTCAATACTCTTACCCTCTCCCATTTCGCAAAGCATGATAATATTTTTTAATGATAATCATATAACAGACTACAGAAGAATCACAATTGGAAACAAAATCAAGAAATTACTTTTAGTATGATGCTATTAGTTCCCTGTATATAAGATTTTTTGTTTTTGCTCTTCAAAATTCTAGCTACTATGGTTTCCTACTTTCCTAATTAGTTCTAACGAGCTTGTTCTTGACTGAAAATAGGTGGCACGCTGCTTTTAGAGCTAAACAGGGTCCTACGCCCAGGTGGTTTCTTTGTGTGGTCAGCTACACCTGTGTATCAGAAACTGAATGAGGATGTCGAGATCTGGGACGGTGATTCCCCCCACCCCCCACCAAAACCAAAACCAAAAGAAAAGACTTCTGTTGATAGCATAATGTATTTTCTTAATTACTATGGATCGAGAGAAGGATGAAGAGGGATTTTTGAAATTTTACCCGGATCTGGGGATGGTCGGCATCGGGGTTGTTGGGGGAGAGAGCGACGGTCGGCGGCGGTCGGGGTTGGCCTCACGAGAGAGAGATCGAAAGGGGGAGTCGGGGTTGGCCTCACGAGACGAAACGAGCGGCGGTGGTTGGGGTTTTCTGGGGAGAGAGATCGAAAGGGGGGGAGGGTTTTCACATCAAGAGAAAGATCGAACGAGAGAGGGCGGATTTGGGGAGAGATCTGGGGAACGAGAGGGGGGCTCTTTTTGGGGAGAGACGCTGTGATAGCTGGGTCACGAGCGCTCTATATATATATATATAGAGGAAACTGTAGGTGAGCTGCCAGTTCACCATCTCTGTGCGCTGTAGGGGTTTTATTGCAAAAAACGTCGCTTTATGACCGTGAAATTTATGCCCGTGACCTCTCTCTCTCCCCCCCAAATCTCAACTCGTGACTTCAAAATTTTCCCCAAATCCCCAAATCCGCTTTCTCCTCCGACGACATCAGCCCTCCTCCGACGACATCAGCCCTCCTCCGGCGAGACTCGTTGCCGCCGTTCCCCAAATCCGCTCACGAGATCTCGAGCCTTCGCCTGCAACAGAGCCGTCGCTTCCCCATATCCGCTCACGAGTTCTCGAGCACTCCTCCAACGACATCAGCTCACAAATCTCGAGCCTTCGAAGGAGGAGGTCGACGAGATCATCCTTCTGAGCCGCCGCTTTCTCGAACGTCGTGCTGCTGATCTCGCCGTCATCATTCTCGTCGTCATCCTCGCTCGGACTCGTCCTCATCCTCCCTCGGTCTCGTCGTCATCACTCAGCTCGTCGTGCTGCTGATCTCGTCGTCGTGCTGCTGATCTCGCCGTCGATCTGGTGTTGATCTCGCCGTCGATCTGGTGCTGATCTCGTCGTCCTAAGCCAGAGTTCGTGAGCCAGATCCGCTCATCCTCCTCCGTCCTCCTCCCTCTGAGCCGACGCGATCTCAAGTTCTACTCCGGCAATCCTCTCTCAGGTGAAATCCCATTCCAATAAAAACCCAATAATAATTTCTGTTAGTTGGATTGAGTTAGTTGTTTGAAACAAGTTCGTCATCATAGTTAATCAAATTTCTGCTTAAATAGATTTTTGTTCTTGGTTCATAGTTAATCAAATTTCTGTTAGTTGTTTACAACAAGTTCGTCATCATAGTTAATCAAATTTCTGCTACAAATAATTATATGAAGTTAAGTAATGATTTGGATAATAACCCTACGAGAATTTATAGTCTATAACAGTGAATTTGCTAAGTTAATCAAATTTCTGCTACAAATAGATTTTGTTCTTGGTTTATATTTATAGTCTATAACAGTGAATTTGCTAATGAAAAATTATCTGCGTGAAAGTTAATCAAATTGTTTATATTTATAGTCTATAACAGTGAATTTGCTAATGAAAAATTATCTGCGTGAAAGTTAATCAAATTTCTGCGTGAAAACAACAAATTAATAAGATAGACTTTGAATGCAAAGTGGGTTTTTGCAACTATTTTTCCCCCAATGAATTAATAAGCTAAGTTTGTATTTCTAACCACAATAGAAATACTAAGTTTGTTTTTCTTGAATTTAGTTTCTTCTTTAGGAGTTCGGAATGGAGTCAGAGAATTCAACTACTGTAGAGTTCAGAATGGGAGAATCAAGTGTTATTGGAAGTGAAATTGCGGCCAATACTGTAAATCATCCTAAACCACTACTTGGAATGAAGTTTAATAGTTATGAAGAAGCTTATAATTATTATAACTCTTATGCATTGTTGATGGACCTACAAGGACTAAAGGTCGTCCACGCAATGCTACTAGAATCCAATCAGGTTTAGAACAAGCACAAGAAAAGAAAGAAAGGAATAAACGTATATGTAGCAGATGTGGTGAACTTGGGCATTATAGAACTAGCTGTAAAGTCAACTTGCCAAGGTACAATTAATATTTTTTCATGAAACTTTTTCTGTTTGATTAAATTCTCGGTAATGATTATTTTGTAATTTGATTTGCAGCTCAATTCTCGGTAATGATTAAATTCTCGGTAATGAAGGGCTTAATATTTTTGAGGTAATGATTTGCAGCATATGTTTACACATATGTGAAGGGCTGAATATAGTTTAATGCGCTCAATTCTCGGTAATGATTAAAATTTCTTCTCTTTTATGCAGCTATCTTGTAAAATCCGAGTGAATAGCATCAATGGTGGGTGGTTGGAACACAGGTTGAGCATTCTCTTTTATGCAGCTATCTTGTAATGTGATTTGAGCTTATATTCAGCTACTTTGGTTGTAACTTTGGAGGTTAAGTCTGTCTTTGATGAAACTCTGTTTGATGTTGTAACTCATGATGTAACTCTATTTGATGCTTGTAGCTTTGCTTTGGCTTATATTCAGCTACTTTGGTTGTAGCTCAATTCTCTTTTATGTAACTATCTTGTAATGTGATTTGAGCTTATATGCAGCTATCTTGTAATGATTATTCAGCTACTTTGGTTGCATAGCTTATATGCAGCTATCTTGTAATGATTATTCAGCTACTTTGGTTGCATCTGTTTCTTGTGATTTGAGCTTATATGATTTGCAGCTCAATCCTGGTGACTTTGGTTGCATCTGTTTCTTGTGATTTGAGCTTATATGATTTGCAGCTCAATCCTGGTGTTTCAGCATGGTTTTAGAAGCATTTTTTATAGCAGTATGGTCAACAAATCCATCATATTTGAGAGCAAATATGTCCTGGTGCATAAATATTCTTTTAACAGGCTTTAGTTATAATCTAATTTGTTCAGATAATTATACAAATAAGAAATAGTTTGCAGTTTAAAAGAATTTGCAGTTCAAATTTGTGGCTAACAAATACCAAATCATTTGCGGTTTAACAGAATTTGCAGTAAAAATTGTGGCTGGTCACAATCTAAAGTTGGCATACACTTCAGAATGAGAGTATGATACTTAAGCTAACTACTTGTATCTCTAGCAAACAGCACGCTAAGACAGGCATAGAGAAACTGGCCAGCATAGAGTCCAACTAATGGTGTTTTAAATTACTTAAGGTCAAGTGTGAATCTCTAGTTGAGAGGATACAATTATAGTTCATATGTCGCCTATTAACAGGCATGCATTAGCATTTAACAACCACCACCAAAGTATGTGGTATTACAGTCAAAGCTACGACAACTGAAGACCCTCAGGAATACATTCATATAACACTACTGTACTGCATACATAAGATCATCTTGGCATTTTTACATTAAACATACACTTCGGTTTTTAAACATACACTTCGGTTTTTAATCCTGGTTCCTTACTCAGGTGTTCTGTGTTCTAACTACAAATATTGATAGTAAACAACTGACCAAATACATGGTTTCGTTGAACATCGGACATTTGACAGTCTCCCCATGAAAAAGATACATGGTTTCAGCCCCACTATTCAATCTTACTTCCACATCAACCAAAATTTCAACTTTAAACTGCATCAAGTAGGACAAAATCAAACATCAATTTCGCCAGCAAACAACAAAAACCATCAAAATGGTCTCACCTGAACGAGTCCAGACTTTGCTGAGTATAAAACAAATTGCTATTCTAATTTGTCTGAAGATACAAATCCAGAACACCTGAAGTTCTCATCAACATACACTTCCACAAAGAAGGATAATACATTCTTACACTCTACTTAGCACAAATCCAATAAAAATACCAAATACAAATCCAAGAAAAATACCAAATAAAAGAGCAAATACAACAAGCTTCAACAAATCCATAATATCAATGTCAATCTTTCTCTTTTCCCGCAATTCTCCACTTGACACGCCTCTTGAAACTTGCGGCCTCACGCTCGACAGCTTTGTCTGAACAAGCCCTGTCTTTGAACCTTCAAACTCCTCTTCATCAGATACCCATTTGAAGAATCCATAATTACTCACTTTCCAATTAGCGCATCCCAAAAACAATCGACCAGGGTTCGTCTTAGTTCCAGATCTAGAGAGTATAGCCCTCCTTCCACAATGACGCAACAGTCCATGACGATTGCTTGAAGATGACTCCATGATTCACGGCTACAGATACAAAAGTTTGCAAATTCATCACAATTGAAAAATAATAATTGGCAAAAAATTGAACTACAAGGGTCTGTCCCTTTTTCTTGTTTGGAATTCTAACCGTGATCAATGACTAACGAAGCGAACATTTCACTTTTCTCACAACAAGTCACAGCATACCCAGTAGAACAAAGTCAAAACTTGGCCCCTTTCAAAAGTTACCAACTTTAACTATCATATAACGTAAATTTTGATCAGCCAGAATCATTACTCTCGGTCCACTTGCTCTCTCTTCACCACTGAATCTTCTCTTTGATAATAGCATGTCTCTCTCCTCTCAATTCAAAAATTTTCACTCTTCTTAGCAATATTTCGTAGTGGAAACTATTACAAGGACTCTGATATTAATAAAAAAATAATAATTTTGTATTTGAAGAATGTGACATGATAATGAACATTTTCGGAAACATATATCAAAGATAAACTTTGCCAGAAACTAATATCTGAGAATGACATTATAGGAACAAAAAAACAACTGACATAGTCCTCGTAATACTTCAGTAACCACCAATGAATTTATGAACCTAGTTATCTAACCACTAACTCAATCCAAAACCCCTACATAATCCATCAAATAATTAAAATAAGCAGATCAATGTGAAGAATACTGGCAGATAAGAGAAAGACCAGGTTTCATAAGAAAAAGACCTAGTTATCAAACAACTAACTCAATCCAACTAACAGAAATTATTATTGGGTTTTTATTGAGATGGGATTTCACCAGAGAGAGGATAGCCGGAGTAGAACTTGAGACCGCGTCGGCTCAGAGGGAGGAGGACGGAGGAGGATGAGCGGATCTGGCTCACGAACTCTGGCTTAGGACGACGAGATCAGCACCAGATCGACGGCGAGATCAACACCAGATCGACGGCGAGATCAGCAGCACGACGACGAGAGTGATGACGACGAGTCCGAGGGAGGATGAGGACGAGTCCGAGGGAGGATGACGACGAGAGTGATGATGGCGAGATCAGCAGCACGACGTTCGAGAAAGCGGCGGCTCAGAGGGCTGATCTCGTCGGAGGAGGATGCACAGATTCGGTGAGAGAGATGAGCAGATTTGGGGAGAGATTGAGAGGATCTGGGGAGAGGGAGGGGGGATTCGGTGAGAGAGATGAGCGGATTTGGGGAGAGATTGAGAGGAAATGTGAGAGAGATGAGCGGATTTGGGGAAATGTAAGGGTCACGAGCTCCTCATTAGTGTCGACATATTTCAAACACTGATGGAGGGTGGAGGGAACTATAAGATTACCGTGGATCCATGGGCGACCCAACAGTAAGTTATAGGAAGTCTCCGCATCGATCACATAGCAGGTGACTTCAGACTTCAGATCTCCGAGTTGACACTTCACCCGGATTTTTCCCAACGGTCGTGACCCGCTTGTGTTGAAACCATAGATAACCGTTCCAGTGGAGGCTAACTTGCTGGCGGGAATTCCGAGGTGGTACATCAAACGAAGTGGCATGATACTAACAGCGGAACCCGGATCGACTTGGATCCGGTTAACCATGCTCGAACCGATATATCCAGTAAAATATAACGGTCTATCATGCTTTGAATTCCTGACTTGCATGTCTTCTTTTGTGAAAGCAATGCAAGGAAATTTGGTGGCTGCCAGATTGCAATGCTGCACTGACGATTCTGGCTCTTCAGGAGCTGGCTTGACCTGAGTTAAGAATACTTCAGAATCAGCCAAAGCTTCTTGTAAAGCTTCTCTGGTTTCTTTTGAGAGGCGCAGCAACTCGTACAATGTGATTCTTGCTGGGATATTAGCCAGCTGAGCCATAACGTCGAAACGATATGGTGCGTTCGAGCTTTCCGGTTTGTCTCGTCCAATCGGTCGACTAAAACGAGACTGCTTCGGAATTTGAACCTCTCTGTGTTGAGGTTCTTTTTCTTTTTGCTTAACAACTTTCTGAGGTTTTTCAGCTGCTACTGGTGGAGTTATGGCTACCCCCAGCTCCGTAAGAGTTTTGGCATTTGGATCTGAGGTTTCCGGATACCTATAATGGTACTCGTTTCCACTTCTTGTAGCAAAAACTTCCTGTTCTCCATCAGAAAGTGATAAAGCTGCTATATCCTCATCGTTCTTCTCGGGAATCGCCGAGGCTCCATAGCAGGACTTCTCCTTTCCCTTGCCTTTTGACTTCTTCTTTGATGTGGGTGTCGTCCACTGTTCATCTTCAAGCAAATCCGGATGAACCCAAAGGATTTCGCCGTTGGGGGCTGTGTGAGATACGAGCCCCTTCTGGCGCTGTCCATGAGGGTCATCGTTGATGGTTTGCATCTTGACCTTTGATACTGGCTCGGCTTGAAACCAGGACAAAGGAACCGATCCGAAGCTAATAGAGACCGCGTTTGCGCCTACCTTCTTCTCCTTTGGCTTCGGTGTCACAATACCAACATCAATCAATGTTTGAATTTTATCCTTTAAAACATAACATGTCTTAGTAGGATGGTGGACCCTTCTGTGATATGCACAATACTTTGGGTCATTGATCTTCGTTGCTTCTTCTTGGTTTGTGACCGGTGGAAGCTTGATCTTGTTGTTCTCTAACAAGTATTTGAAGATGACCGGAACTTCATCATCTTTGAAAGAGTATTCCTTTGGGAATCTGGGCTCAGAATTCTTAAACTGCTTCGAAGGCTGTTGATTCTGGTTTGGCGCCAACTGGAAGGATGATTGTTGCGGTTGTTGCGGTGGCTGTTGTGACGTCTGATGTGCGTCCACAGCGGCTACAGACCCTCTTCCTCTGCCTCGAGGGTTAAAGTTCTGCTTTTGATTTTGATTCTGATTATTAGCTGGTGGCAAACCTCGCTCCAAATTCTTTCTCTTGAGGAAGCGTTCAGCTTGTTCACCTCTTACTTTCATCTCTTTCCAAGTTTTAGAGGGAACAACCCCCACCACTTCTAATACATCCAAGGACAGATTATTATGACATGTTTGCAGAATAAATTCCTCAGTGAGTGGATCTCTGCAGTTCACCGCTTTGTCCCGGAATCGTTTGACAAAGACATCAACCGATTCCCCATCCTTCTGCTTCTCATCCAACAACGTGCCGATCGAGACTTCCGTGTCGTCGTCGAAGAAATTGGTGAGGAATAACTCTTCCATGTCTGCCCAGCTAGTGATACTCCCAGGCTTAAGGCGTCGGTACCAATCGAAGGCAGGCCCGCGAAGGGTTCCTACGAATGACCGGACCATCAGGGCTTCGTTCCCAGATATTGCGCCGAGATGCGACTTGAAATAGATCAAGTGCTGAGTTGGTGAACCCCTGCCATCAAAAGGAGTAAAGTTAATCAAATTAAATTTCTGGGGATAAGGAATCAGGTCCCACTCCCTCGGGTACGGGTATGGGATGCCCGTTTTCTTCACTTCTTGAGCCGTCATCAAAGCGTTGACTTTGCTCTCAAGATCGTGCATCTTCTTGTCCTCTTCCTCGCTTTTCTTCAAATAGATCTGTGGAGGTTGAGTGGCTGACTTGGTCGGATCGCTTCCGGAGTTGTCTTTATCTGGAGGAGGATCGTCAAAGATAGTCTCATCCTCTTCATTACGCCGGCTGGATTCCGCCTTCTGGCTCGACTCCGGTTGGTGTTGCTGAACCTGCAAATCTCGCATCTGCTGCATAGTCAACTCCATTTCGGTTTTGAACTCAGCTCTAATTTCTTCGCGTTGTTTAGCCAACGCTTCTTGCAGCATTTGAGCTAGTTGATCCGGCGTGATCGCGAATGATTCTCTGGCTCGTCCAACACTGGATGCAGTATCGTCCGATGCAATAGCGGAACAAGTATCCGACAATTCTTCATCTGAAGATAAACCCTCGTGCATTCTCCTGTAATCTCGACGTAAGTTGGCTCTTCTTTGTAACCGCGCCATCCTTTGAGAAAGACCCCGCTCAACTCTCCCTCCCGGAGAGAAATCAGGGTCGTAGTTAACTGACTTTTGCTTTCCTTTATTGGTCATGTTGATAGTGACCTCAGGAAGCTCATCTTGTCGGATTACAGATTTCGTTTTGTTGAAACGTCTTGTTTTGGGTCTTGACGCTTCATTGGACAATCTTTGAAATACGGAGACTCTTGTTGAATTATTCTTAGAGCATCCGCATTCTGTCAACACTGCTTTAATGAGTCTCTCGCAAGCGCAATGAGACTCATTTTCTCTGACAACTCTCTTTCTTGAGTTATCTTTCTGATAGTACAGCTCATCATTATTGTGATTCGAGCAACCTATCTTTCGCTTTTGAACTTTGTTAACATGCACAGGACGACTGGTCGTCGCCTCTGAGCGATCCAAAGTTGAATGTTTAAATCCACCCCCTTGCGGGTGTGGAGTTTTCAGAGGTCCTAAACGAGAGTGAACTGGTATTCTCTCGTTTTGGACTTGTGCAGTTCTGACAGGAGGGTGTTTACGACCCCCTGCATATGAAACCATTAATGGTTTATTTGCCGGACATGGTTGTTCCTTGACTGGGGCTTTGCCTCGATCATCAACTGAAGGACCAAGGCGATCTGCCATTGTTATCTTGAACTTGGACAAATCTGGGCTAACCCAGGGTTCTACTGGTGTTGCAGTAGACGGGCCCGGAACAGATGCTTGTGGCGTCTTTGGCATCCAGACTTTACGATTCTTCGGTGGCCTTTCAGTCACCGCCTCTTTCTTGGTTTCTTGCGCTTGTTGACGAAGAGCGCGAGCGTGGGCAGCCTTCGCCTTACGCCTTTGTATCCGTTCTTTAAGGGTTGAACGGGCCCTTTTGACGAGAGTCCATTCCTCCGTCGTAAGCTTTGCAGAAATATGATTATCTTGCCATTGAGGCAACTGGGTCATTTTCTGTTTTCTCGACTCTAGGTCCGCATAGTAATGGACCCCGTCGGTTTGTTGCATGGCCTTAGCCAGTTGTCGAGCACGGCGCTGACGCTGTCTCTGACGAGCCCTCTTCGTCAGCACCGGCGAGCTATTCATCATCGACTCCTTAAGGGATGTGGAGTCGTTTGGAGCAGGTATGTTGCAGATGGGTTCCTTAGCAGCAATTGAGTAGGAACCTTCACCTGCGGCCTCTTTGGGCATTGCAGACTTGAACGTTTTCTTGGAAGACGAAATCTTCCTATATTTGCGAGAGGAGGAAGATTTTGCGGATGAGGACGATAAGTACTCCTCAAACTTCGCCTGATCGAACTCATATTCGATCTCTTCATTGACGATGATCTTGATCGGTTGCGACACCGCGGCCTCGGCAGCGAGGCCGCTGGCTCCCACTGTGGTCGCCAGCTTGTTTGGTTCAAAAGTCGCTGCTGTGGAATTCATTATAACTTTGTTCGATTACAACAAATTCGAAAGAATAATCTTTTTATAAGACTTTTTCTACACAACAAAACAAAAATTACAACTCTTGAGAAACAAACACGAAAATCGTCTATCAATTCTCGTTTTCGTGGGACTTTGCCTGTGCCGGGAACGCTTTGGTTCGTGGACCGCCGATTCACAGATCGTGAAGAGGGGGCTTATGATTCTAACTTCGTTATCGAAGTAGAAATTGAAACGATATCTTATCGAAGTAAGATAGTCGTTCTTCTTAAAATCAAGTCAAAGCTTAATTTCAAGGCGTTGCAAGAAAAGAATCCAAATCTCTGCTCTCTCTGCTCTGGAATGCTCTAACAAATGCTCGATCCTCGTCAGAAGTGACCCTAGGGGGGTATTTATAGCCTCAAGGGTCTGTAACTGCAAAAACTTAACAATCGAAGAAGTCAGTACGGCGAGACAGTGTTTACTGTCTCGCTGGGCGAGACAGCGTTTGCTGTCTCGACCCGCGAGACAGTAAATTTGCTGTCTCGCTCAGTGAGACAGTAAATGCTGTCTCGGAAAATGGCAGTTTCTCGCTGTAACTGTTCTTCCACGTTTCAAACTCCGTTATTTTGGCAGTTATCCACCTGATTTTCGCCCATGATATTTCCCACGTCCCTTGGCAGGTAATGGACACGTGTAGGGCAGTTACAAATGTAGTTTTGACTATTTCAACACTGTCTCGCTGGCGAGACAGCAAAGACTGTCTCGCTGGCGAGACAGTTCATACTTGTTTTGATTTTTTCAAAACAGTATGAAATCCTTTCTTGTGAATTTTTGAGTGATCTTATCTATGCTTGGGATATCTATTAGCATTTTTTGACGCC